CGTCAGTCCCATGTGCGTTGTTTTCGTGTGAAGCCTCACTAGAAGCACATTGAACGTCCACGTTTCTAGCAGCGTTCTGTTGCGGGGTCGTATGTCCTCTCTAAGATGATAGAGACTTTCTCTGTGCCTCTCCTCACTTCCTTCTGAGCTCTCACCAGAATTGCCTTTCATGTCCATCATTCCACCAACAGTCTGAGACAATCTAGGCTTTTACTATTACTCAAAACCTGAAAAGCCAAACTCACTGCCATCGAGTTGATTCCGACTCATAGCGACCCTCTTTGGATTTCCAACGCAGTAAATCCTTACAGAAATAGATTGCCCAGTCTTGCGTCCACAGAGTGGCTGGTGGGTTTGAACTGCCAACCTTCTGGTTAGGCTTTGACTGTTAGGCACCTTGAAACTCTTCCAGCCTCTACGCATTCCCTAATCTCAAAACCGCTTCCACATCATAGGAATCTCTTAGAGCAGCAGGAGGCCTAGTTGCACAGTGGTTAATGTGCACGGCTAGTAACCCAAAGATCAGCAGTTTGAACCCACCAGCCACTCTGTGGGAAAAAGATCAAGGAACATGCTTCCATAAAGATGACAGCCTTAGAAACCCCAGGGTGCAGTTCCACTCTGTCATCTAGGAGCGCTGTGACTCAGAATAGACTCCATGGCAGTGGGTGTGGTTGGAACTTTGCTTCCAGTAGGTTTGGTTTGGCGTTTGCTTCCATGAAGACTGACATCCTTGGAAACCCTGTGGTGCAGTTCTGCTCTGTCCTCTAGGGGCGCTGTGGGTCAGAATCGACTCCTCGGCAGTGGGTGTGGTTTGGGCTTTGCTTCTGTGAAGATTGACAGCCTTGGAGACCCTGTGGTGCAGTTCCACTCTGTCCTCTAGGGGCGCTGTGGGTCAGAATGGACTCCAGGGCAGTGGGTGTGGTTTGCTTAGAGCAGTATCCCCACTTCTGTGTCCCCAATTCTAAGTCTGTGTCACAGACTTAAGGTTAGGGATTACGATGCGTAATTTTGCAGCACACTTGGTTTGAGTGCAGTGGGGTGAATACCTGTACTTAGTGGTTCCTGCTGTTTCATTGAGGTCCCGAGGTGAGCTTGGTGTCCCCTCACCTGACACCTGTGTCGGCCGCCCTGGGGCTCCAGAACTCACTTGGCCGGCAGTGGTGTAAGTGGTCCTTTGCTTCAGTCTCTGCCCTCTAACTGATGTCCACAGGATTGAATGCAGGGCTGAGCTCCCGTCTTGTCCCTGACGCCTGCCCACCTTTCTTCTGCACGCCCTGGTGAGCGTCGTGGGGTGTCTCACTGGTCTGGTCTCCTTGCTGGTGTCCCCGCGGTCTCCCCCGCCCAGGAGACGACGCAGCTGCAGGCTTCTTGTGGGTTTCCGTTCCCGCCTTCCTCCCCCTTCCTCGTCCAGGCAGGTGCACTCTGCCCCTTCAGGAAAGCCCCGGCCGGCAGGAGCTCTCCGCCGCCCAAGTTCACAGCAGCTACGCGAGGCCTTGCTTGGGGTCTCTGACTGACTGGGGTCTGTCTCCCTCTCACAGGTACAGCCCCGCGGACCCAGGTGCCCTGGCC